GATGCACATCTCTCAGGAGCCTACGAGAGAGCTCGTTGCTGCCCGCTGGAGTCAGGAGGAGGAGGAATAGGAGGATGAGGAGGAGAAGGAGTATGGCTCCTTCAGCTCAGCATGGTTCGATTTTTGTTGGGGGAGGACGGTGCTGGCAGGAACACGTTGGGGCCCTCTTGGGCAGTCCTGTGGTCGTCTTGGGAGCGTTGACCAAAGGCTGGGAGGCGCCGCTCGGGTCTCAAGGGATGGGGGTCAGTGCAAGCGGGGGTCAGCCAGAGCGCCAGATACCGCAGGGGTCAGTAGACCCCCGAGCCGCCCCAGCCGGCTTTCAAGGGTCTTCGGGTGGACCCCCGAGCAGATTTTGGCACACCCGGCCAGAGCCCGAGATGCCCAGAAGAGACGGGAGCCGAGCCACAAGGCCACCAGAAGCCAGTTGCTGTTGCGCCCACACCAACACCCCAGACCCTCGAGAAGCGCAGTGCCTAGCAGCGGGCCGTCTTCAGTCTCAGCCGCCAGCCCCAGCATCCATCGAGGGTCCTGCGAAGCTCGGCGTAGTTCTCGCCATCCTCCCGAGGAGAGCCGCGCAGGAGCAGCTCCCCACGGACGCGGAGGACTGGTCGCGCTGGTCGGACGATCGGTACGTGGACAGCAGCGACTCGCAGCCCGCCTGGGAGAATGAGAAGGAGATGCCACTGGCTAGTGCTCGGGTATGTGGATCGACTGCGGAGCTCATTTGCCTCATACAGTTGTTTCGTCGACTCTACGAACAGGTTCCGTACAACATTCGTGTATCTACGAACATTACTTAGATTTCCCGATAGTTCTCAGAGAAGAGACAATTGTGTGGTAAATCACTTATGTAGTCGATCCCCTATTCGAAATGCGGCCAGCAGGGTCAGGAGGGGCATGTCCTGGAGTATTTGGAGTCACTCCGAGACCACTGCAGCAGGACCCCAAAGGCGGGTGGTCTGCTTTCTGGAGGCCACTTAGCTGACAGCCAGGGAATTGAAGTCTTACGATCGTTGCCTTCCACGTGGCTCTCGGATGAATTTTTGTAGACTCTGGGGAGGCTGTTGGGGCCCGTCTTAGAGACCCTTTGGGGCCTGTCTGTGGTTGTCGGGCTGTCTTAGTGCCTCGTGGGGCCAACCAGGTCTGGTCTTCGGGTGCGTCTCGTGTCCGCGATGGAGGGTCTTGGCATGCAAGTCCATGCCAGGGACGCCAGCTTTGGTGGGAAAGTCGAGTGGTTCCTCGGGCAGCCGCGGAGTCGATTCTCAGGTTTGCGCCGCACATGCAAGACGAGCTGCGAGTTATGGTCGATGGCAGTCGATTTTGAGTTTTTTTGCGATGCGAAGGACGAGATCGTGCGCGTGCACCCTTGAGCCACATGGTGTTGCGATGGTGGCGGGTGAACTGTTGTAGTCAACAGATTGTGCAGATTTTTTTGTGTGGATGGACGTCTCGTTTTAGAAGGTTTTGACTTACAATGGAACGCATGTGCTTCTTCCTTAAAACTATCTCTTCGTGTATGTGTATTGATGATGAAGCAAATGGCAGGTAGCGGGGCTCATGTACTCATCGTAGCAAGGTATTATTCATCACTGCTGTCTTTCGCTCATAATCGTCGTCGTCGTCGTCGTCGCTGTGAGGCGACTTGTGCACATCGGCCCAGTGAAAGCAGCCGTCACACCGAAGCTCGGGATCAGCATGAGCAGACCTAGAAGCCGATCATAACTGCCTATCGGATCTTTCAATATGGGAGCCCTCTTGGCAGCCCACTCGGGCTATCTTGGGGCGTTCTTTGGGCCACTTGGGAGGCCTCTGGGGCTGCTCTTGAGGCCCTCTTGGGGGTTTCTTGGGTCCGCCTTGGGGTCCATTTCGGGCCTAATTGTTCTTTTCTGCTCCCTGGCGGTCGCCAACCTGGGCGCCGTCGTACGCACTTTACGCAGCAGCGCGCATTGCTCTTCTCTGACTTTTCCTGTGGGCAGCCAGGGCTCTGGCATGCTTCTGCTTTGCATGTTGAGTGTGTGTGTGTGTGTGTTTGTTTCTGGACGCAGACTTACAGTTTTTCTCGCGCTTCACTGTCTAACATCGCCTGTCCGAGGACTCAGCGGCCGCCAATTGACACCAGATTGCCTGCGCTTCAGTCCTGAGTCGAGCTCGCTCCTCAATTTTCTGGCCGCTGCACGTTCTCTTTTTGGGCTTACATGGCCTCTAGCCCACCACTCATCGTTTTCATTCCAGTGTTCGACGTTTCGTTCACTGTGCACTCGACTGCGCTCGATCGCAATTAGCACCTCCATCTGCTGCCCGCGCTCGAGGGCCCTCGGCGCCGCTGCCTCTGAATAGTGCTCCTGGACGCTCGCCGGGCTACCGTCCGTCCCACCCACCGCCCATCCCTGCACATCAGTGATTGACGCTTCCTTCACTGCGCTTTCGATTATGCTCGACCGCAGCTCGCACTTCCACCTGCTCCCCGCTTGAGGAACGCCTGCGCCGTCGACTTAAAACGTGTGTGGTTCCGATCTCCTATGCCCTGTCGCCACGCGCAGGGCCGCGACGCCAGACAAGTGCGTGCGTGTGTGCGTGCGTGTGCGTGTGTCTGTGTGTGCGCGTGTGTGTGTGTGTGTGTGTGTGTGTGTGTGTGTGCGTGTGTGTGTGTGTGTGTGTGTGTGTGCGTCCGCCCCGCCGCCGCTTGGCCCTGCTCTGAGCGGGCCCGGCTTCCGTCCCCCTCCCGCCCGCGCCCGGCTCCTTTTCTCTTCCCCCGTGCGCCGCGGCTCAATTCGCGTCTTGTGTGTCCCAGTAATGCTACATCGCCAGAATAGTCCCTCTGCCTAGCCGCCGATGGACTACATATGTATATATATACACATACATATATATATATATATGTGTGTGTGTGTGTGTGTGTGTGTTTGCGTGCGTGCCGATAGGCGCGAGAGCAAAGGGAGAGCGGGGGCTGAAGGTGACGGCGCTGAAGGGTGAAGCTGGTGAGGGTGCAGACGTGGATGGTGACGGGAGGGGTGATGGTGATCGGCGGCGAGCGAGGAGGGAAGTGAGAAGCAAAAGGCCTTCTCAGAAGGCGGCGGGGAGGCCTTCTGGGAGTTTTTCTGTGTCTCCGGGTAAGGCTTAGACAACTTTTCAGAAGGCCGGGGGAAGGCCCGCGTCTCTTCACTTCCCCACAGGCTCGCCGCCGAACGATATCGCAGGACTAGTGAAGATGCGAGTGAAGAAGGGGGAAGATGAAGATGACGATGCTAGTGAAGATGCTAGTGAAGGAGGTTTAAGATGGAGATGGAAGATTCTAGTGAAGATGCTGCTGAAGGAGGTGACAGGGATGGATGCGCTCTGCTCTGCTCGTTTGCACCCGTTGAGGGGTTTTCGTCTTGCACTCAACCGCGGCATCCTGGCCCCCGGTCGCAGGCGAATGATACCTTGAAGTGGGCCCGTAGGCGTCATCATGCTTCATCATGGTCTAACAGCGAATTCGCTGATGAGTTTTTCGAAATTGGCGTTGTCTCGTTGCAGTGGCCCCGTGCAGATGGGTCCCAGGCCACCCGAATAAACTTCATATCTGCCACGACGTGTGTCAAGGCTCCAAGATGCTCCCAGAAGGCCCCATGATCCCCTGTAGGAGGGACCAACATCTCGACAACTTGGCTCCACCTTTAACGCCACCAAGGGGCGTCGAGGTGTTCCGCGAAGAGCTTAATAGGTTTCATTCATGGACACCTTGACGGCGCAGTCAGGGCAAAATCACTCAGTACAGGCACACAAGAAATTGTTCACTCAGGTCGAGAGTGGGGGCAGGTACAGGGACCCCCCAGAGATTCTGGTAGGGTACGATCACAGAGCTGGATTGCGACGTTCAATGATCAGACGACTGGTGTCCCGAACCAGCTCGATAGATGCGCAAAAGCGAGGCTCTGTATGTTGCAATTCTTTTGGAACTTTGCGTGTGGCCGATATTTCGATGTAGGCTACACGAGTAGGGTTCCATGTGTATGTTGTTTACTCCACATGGTAATCACCTGGCAGAAACTAATTACGCGGTCCCAAGAGGCGACGCCTCGACTAGGAACTTGGACCCGTTCAGCAAATCAGTGATTCGTGCCCCCGTTCGCCTCACGGGGTCACTTCTGCTTCTGGAAGGCGGCACCTGTAAGCGTTTGCGGACGTTCATGAATGCATGTGAGCCAAGCGCTTGTCAGCCATAGCGACGTCAGTTGGTGCTTGCGAGTGCTTGTGAACGCCTGTTAGCCACATTGTGAGCTTTCGTGAGTGCCTGCGAGCGCGTGTGAGCGCGTGTGGGCGCATGCGAGCCGTTTTGAGCGTCTGTGAGTTAATGTGAGGGCTTGTGAGCGCCTTTGATTGCCCGCCGGAGCTTGTGAGCAGCTGTGCGCGCATGCGTGTGCCCATGACCGCCTGTGGGCATTATGCATTGATTGCCTGCGAGCGTCTGTGGGCGCCTGTACAGGCTACTCGGCGCTTGTGGACGCCTGTGAGCGCTTGTGAGCTTTGCGCTTGCCAGCGCTTGTGAGTGCTTGGGACTGCTTGTGAGTTCTGGCGATCGCGGGTGAGCGTGTGCGAGTTCTAATAGGCGCCTGTGAGTGCCTTATGCCCTTTTGAACGTTTGCGAGTACCCGTGAGCGCCCGTGGGTGCCTGCGAGCGCATACGAGCGCTCCTGGGAAGCCTACTCTTCTCTTCGGTGGTTCCTATGCACAAAGGGACCCCTACGGGGCACTAAGGCACCTTGGGGAACCACGGGATATTGCGATTCGTCTTGACCCTCAAGTGAAGGCTTGTGGATCTACTGCGCGGTCTTGAAATTTACCCAAGCCCCACCACTCCCCCTCTTCGTCACTCTTTGATGTGCGGGGGGGCGGAGAAAAACGCGCACGAACGCGCGTTCTCCCTGCCCAGGTCGTGGGCAGCCGATGCACGCTTTGACTGAGTGTCTCGACCCTCTCTGCTCTTGTCGACGCGCTTCTGTGGGTGGCAGCAGCATAAGGCCATCTGCGACGTGGTTCTCGAGGAGGACGACAGCGGCAAGCGAGTCTGTGGGCCTCAGGTCGGCATGGGGTGAGACCGAGCTCCGACGGTTGATCTCAGAGGTCACCTGGGAGGCGTTGGCGCCACGTCGCTAATCTTTTTTTCCATGGTAAGGCGCGCGCGTATGCACACATTCACTGTGCACCTTATGGGAAATGCTGGTGATGATAAGGATGAGGATAATGTTGCTGCTGGTTAGTGATGAGGAAGGTGGCGCGGGGGATGAATATCATGGTCGTACCATTGGACATGATAATCATAGTGACCCTCATGCTGGCTGGAGTGATGATGATCCAGTAGGAGCTCGACCACACGAAACCTTTCACAAGAAACCCAACCCTGAGACCCCAGGACGTCTATAGATTTTCGGTGTGGGAGCGTCACGCTTTCCATAGCAGAACCACTGGAACCCAAGAAACCCAGGGCACACTGGAGTCGAGCCCCGCTGCAACCGTGCATTTTAATGGCGCCAACATCACAGAGCGGATTTCGGTCGGAAAACAATAGGGTGGGTCTGGAGTGTCCTGGAGAATTCCGTTCTGGATTTCGAAGTGAATTTCGTGCGCAGGAATGAAGACCAAACAACATTCACGCGAAATTCACTTCGCTTTTCGCTCGCCGTTTCGGAGTTTTGCATCGGCAGAAGTCCACGCGAAAATCCGCTGCAGCACGCCTGCAAGGTCGGCGCAGTGAGCACGTGGTGGTGGGCCAGGGGCCTCTTCTGGGCTGTCCTGGGCCTGTCGGGGGCGGCCAAGAGGGGGGTGATGACTAGGGGGGGGTGGATATCATGGCGTGGGCCATGATATCTCCCCAGATTTCATGGCGCCTCTTCTTATTCCATTCCGTCCCCGCCCCCCCCCCCCGGGCCGCGCACATGCCGCCGGCTATGATTTGCGCCCCCCCCCTCTTGGACACCCCCCCACCTCTTGGACGCCCCCCCCCTCTTGGACGCCCCCCCCTCTTGGACGCCCCTCTTGGACGCCCCCCCCTGGGCCGCGCACATGCGCCCCCCCCTCTTGGACGCCCCCCTCTTGGACGCCCCCGAGCCTGGGCCTCTCGGGGGCCTTTCCGTGGCCCTGTCGGGGCCGGATGTCCGGGGCCTCCTCGGGGGCCGCCTCGGGCACCTCTGGGGGGGGGGGGTCCTCGGGGCCCGCAGGCAGTCTCGGAGGTCGTCTCCTGGAGCGGAGGGCTCGAGATGTGTGGTTCGTGCTCCCCCTCGGGGGCCTCGTGTCGGGCCTCCCTTTTCGGGCCTCTCTCTCGGGGCCCTCTTGGGCCGTGGCCTCTCCTGGGCCGTCCTGGAGCGTGGAAGGCCCGAAGCGGCGAGGACGCTGGGATCGTTGAAACACCGGAGGAACCTCAGTGCTTTTGGCCTCTCGGGGCCTTCCTGGGGAGCCTCTTGGGGTCCTCTTGGGGGCCGTCTGGGGGCCATCCTGGGTGCCTCGGAGCGATCTTCGGGCGACCAGGGGCTCTCTTAGGCCGTCTCGGGGGCCTTTCGGGGCCCTCTTGGTCCGCTTTGGGGCCCTCCTGGCTCCGGACAAGCTGTGCGTGAAGACCCAGGGGCGCCCAAGAGCGCCTGGTAGCGCCCGAGAATGCCCGAGAGCTCCCAGGATTCCGGGCCGCGGGCCCTTGCAATATTCTTCCGAACTGAGGATGGAGGATTCTTCTCAGTGACCTGAGGACACTCCAACGCGTGCCCCAGGGCACGGTGGCGGATAATGGGTGCGACGGTGACGGTGGTGGTAACAGTTGTTGTCATATTGTCATGGCAGTGGGGTTTGAGCGATGGCGACTGCTGGGCCATCAGGGAGCTGCCATGAGTTGCGCCCTGTGGCGGCGACGGTGTCAGCATCCGCTCAGACGGTGAGCCGTAGCTCCTGGTAAGATCTACGTAGACTCTGTGAGCTGTTCTATTCGTGCACTTGCTTATCTCCTGTCCGTCAGGCGTGCCCTCCCAGAAAGTGAGCTCAACTCTTGACGCTTCGTGCATCCCCGTCAGCGAATGGAAAGGGGGAGGCAAGCGATCCCCCCCAGCGTGAAGACCACCGCGGCTCCGAAAAGCGAGGCCGCTGGTGGACATAAAAAGCAATACGGCAGCGTCTCTGTGAAGGTCAGCCGCTATCAAGCAACAGACGCCGGCGGGAAGACTAGCCTGCAAGACTGCAGGCCCCAGGACACCTCGCCGCTACGGGTGCTGGCCTCGGGTTCACCCTACCACCACCCACAGTACACGCTGGCCCGCTTGGGCCCGTTTCACCCCGCTGCGCCCGGCCTGTCGGCCGTAATACCTCGGGGCTGCCTACCGCTGGGGCGGGCGGCCGCCCCCCCCCCCCCCCGGCGCAGCATAGCTAGACAGCCTCAGCTGGATAGATGCGCGTGGGCGACGCACGGACGCCGCAGCCCACCCGCTACCGCTTTCGGGCGCCTCGACGGGGCACGCCCCTCGGCGCCCGACGCATCTCACCCCCTTGTGCACGCGACTCGTGACTGTAGAGGCCTCGGCCGCCCTGGCAGCAGCTACTTTAAGATGGCAGACGGCCCCCGCCGCACCCCTGGCTGCTCCTCCAGAAAGGAACCGACGAGGCCGACGCTCCCCCCTGACAGGAAGCAGGCGCGGGTAGGGGCTAGCGCTGGTCCAAGGCTGACCACGCCGTCGGCGCCTGGCGGGAACCAGACTGACCCCGGCGGTCGGACGGCCGCGTGGCAGGAGCGGGACAGCTCCTCGGGGTTGCCGGCTTGCCCATTGGCAAGGGCGATGCGCGACAGCCTCCGTGAGACGTCCCCCTCTCGTAGCAGCAGGTGCGGCCCCTGGGGTTTTATCATCTCTGAGCAGCCGTTAGCTGCACCCCTGGTAACCTGGACGCACTTGCAGGTACAGTGATGCCAGTGATGCCGGCAGACCGCCGACACTGGGGCCAGCAGGGCGACAGTAGACAGTGCTACCCTGCGTGAAGCTCTGCTCATACTTCGCCCTAACAGGGTGGGCGCTCGTTGGCCTATACTAAACTCTGAGCAGCCGTTAGCTGCATCCCTGGAATGGGCCCTGGCTCCCGCCCTCTCCCTGTCTCTCCCTGGCGCCGGGTGTCCCTGGCGGGCCCCTCCTTGTGGCCGGCTGGTGATGTCTTTCCCCACCGCCCCCACCACAGGAGGGTCCCTCACGGGCAGGTTGGCCGGTCAGGGCTTCGTGACCCCGCATCGCAACGTGGGAGATCGCCCCCTGGCGCTGTCGCCCCCTGGTGCCTACTCTCCGGCCGCGCTGGCGACGTTCATCCCCGCCAGTCCGGCTTCTCTTCCGCGCCCTACGCGGTTCTCCGCGACGCTATGTCGTGCGTGCGGCCATGGGCCGGGCCCAACGAGCCATCGCCTCCGGGCCGGTTCGTTGCCCTTGCTCGGGACTGGTGGGCCCCACTGGATACGGGCGTGGCGTCTCGGAGTGGTTCAGCCTTCCGTCGTACGCAGTGTTTCCGTCCTGGCTCCGTCCCAGCCGACCAGGCAGGTCTACGCCGTCGACACGGCCCTGGCCCAGCCCACCTGGCAGGTCTACGCCGTCCACACGGTCCTGGCCCTTGGCGCCCCCCGGCGACTCGACCAGCGTTTACCTCGCCTTTCCCCACCACCGTGTCTGTGAGGATCGCACCTGCAGGTAATCCCACCTGTCCCAACCTGCACCTACACCTGAGTGGTCTGACGCCGCAGCGCGTAACACAGAATTCCCTGTCATTTTGCCGCAGGGCTGCACGTTGCCTGAGCTTCCCTGGGCGTTCCAGTTCAGCCAGCCACCCCCCCGGTGCCGCTGCCCCAGCTGCTGCTTTTGTGAGCTGGCCCGGCCGGCTGGTGCTGCGCGCTGCAGCTGATTAGGTTTGCCCGTCGGCCAGGACTCCCTGTTCGCCGCCTGCGCTCTCGCTGGTGGCCGCAACCCAAACAAAACACACATCCCCATCAGCCCATTGAAAGACGGACAGCAGGCGACTTGCCCTGATCAGGGATATAGAGCGTCCTGGTGGTTCCTTGTCGTTGCCCGCGGTGCCTGTAGTACGTCGTGCGAGCCCAGGGTTGCCTTGGTACACTGGTTGCCTTTCGTTGCTCGCCGTGCGTGCATTGCTTTGGGCATGCGAACGCCGACGACGTGCGCGCTGGTCATCCAGCAGGCCAGGAGCGACGGCAAGCAACCGCTCAACCAAGGCAGCCGCGGGAAACGCGGGAAACGCGGGAAGCGCAGGATGATGACGACGACGACGACGACGGCGACGACGACGACGACGACGATGACGACGACGACGACATCAGTCAACCCTCAAGGCCTTCGCAGATCTTTCGCCGTGGGAGCGTCTGGGAGGCCTCTTGGGGCATCGTAGGGCCCAGTTCGGGCTATTTTGGAGACCTCTTGGCCCCCCTTGGTCCTCGCTTCGGTCCTCTCTTGGAGCTCTCTTGGGGCCCTTGGGCACCCTATGAGGCTGTGAAGGTCCTCTCGGGGTCACCTTGGAAGCCATCGGTCACAAGGTGAGCTGCGTCAATTTTGGCCTCCCCGCCCTCTGGGGGCGCTCTGGGGGCGCTCTTGGGGCGCTCTTGGGCGCTTTTGGGACTGCCTTGGGCCCCTCTGGGGCCTCTCTTGGGGCCCTCTCGGGCCATCTTGGAGCCATCTAGGGGCCTCTGGAGCGAATCGAAATCGAACAAAGACAGGCACCAACCATCCATGAACAGCGCAGTGTTCTGACACATTTTGTCCGCTGGAGGCTTCTGTGGGGGGCACAGAAGCACTTTGGGCCGTCCTGGGGCGGTCTTGAGGGCTCGCGGGTGCATGTCATGGTCATGGTCATGGTGGAAGGGAATGTAGGCCTAAAGGCCGCCCTTCGTCTCCCCAGCAGGACCCGGACCCCGGACCCCAACCCCGGAGGGGTGAAGTGCGCCGCGACGAGGCGGGGGCGGGGACCCCGTGCCGGGAGAGGCACGAGGGGGAGCCCGATCCTCCGCCCCACCGCGACGGACCCCACCCCGAAAGCCCCCAGAGCAGAAGAGGTGAGGGAGGGAGAGAAGACCAGGAGTGACGAGGCGGAGAGATCCCCTTGGTAACCGGAGCCCCATACTGGGTGTACCAGGGTCAAGGACCGTACCATGAAGGCGCCTCATCGGAATATCGGACCTTGCGACGCCCGTCCTGGAAGAACATGCCGATGATTGAGGCACCAGCAAGAAATCGAATATTGGCACTCAAGACAGCTTCGCATGCACACCTTCAGAAGCGCAAGACACGCACTGTGCGCCGACAGTTCCACACACACACACACTCACCGCCTTCAACCTGGAGCGCCCATACGACCTTCAACCCGGAACGCCCTTAGGACCGTATCTCAGCTGATGGAGTGTGAGCGGAACTCCAACAAGGCATGTGCCGTTGTGAATTCTAGCCCGTCCGGCAAACCTCCCCGCGACGTGCGTCCTCCCCGCCTGTCGGTCAGGAAAGGGGTGCAAGGCCCCTCGCCGCCAGGGGTGCAAGACCCCCCACCCGAGGAGGCGGTGCAAGGCCACCTCCCAGCTCAAAAGGGTGACCCCGGAGGGCGACGACGACCCGACTGACAGGCGAAACGCGCGTACTCCCCAAATGACCACTCCGGCATCTGCCGCCCCCGACCACGAATGCCCCTGGACCTCCCCGCCCGCCCCCCATCCCCCCCCCCCCCACACCCCAATCCAGACGGCACGATACCCGAAAAGGGTCGATTTGCATCAGCGCGGCACCACGGAGAGACACCTTAGGATCGGCCCAGAAGACCCGCGCGAAGACAGAACCAGAGTCTGCCAGCCCCCGGTGATCAGGCGGCAGCCAGCCTTACGCTACCCGGCGTACGGGGGAAGATCCAAAGGAATCCAACCGCCCCCGCACGCACATGGCAGCGAGTCGTACCCTCCCGCCCCCGCGCAAGTTCGAAGCGACACGTCGCGGTGTGAAACAAATGAGGGAGCCGCAGCCAAGTGCCAGAGCAGGGGGTCTCCATTCCACTCCGCACCCGGCCCCGCACTACACCATGGGGGCGACTGCGGGGGCCACTCAGGCCGAGGGGAACCTGGGGGCCCCCCGTCCTGGGGTTGGCCGCCCTCGAGCGCTGGCCCACGTGTCAATCGGCACTGTACCCCGAGCACCCTCGGGCGCCCGAGAGGCGTTGCCCCCGGCCCAACCGGGCGGTTTGGGCACTCACGGGCCTGGAGAGTCGCCGTACCGTGCAGCGCAGCAACCGAGACGCGAAAGGGCTCCCGACGGGAAGCAAAGAAGCGCGCAGCCCCCGCCCAACAGTGCTCCCGTCCGACTTGGCGGTCTGTGGACGTGCCGGCGTAGCTGGCTAGGCCACGCCCGGCACCGCGGCCCCGGGAGCAGGGCGTAGGCCGGTGAGAACTACGGGCGCGCCCCCCAACGCCATACCCAATGCTTGGACGTGGCACTTCTCTCCGCAGACCCGAACCCGGCACGCACCAAACCTAGCACACGTGCCACGCCGCGCAAGACACACAAGCACATACATACGTGTCAAACGCGCGCAACACACAAAAGCGCGCACGCGTGCGCAAAAACACTCTACCCGTCTGTTGCCAATATTCGTAGTTCCGCCGTGCCTTGAACAACTTTGAACAACTTTGGGACGCTACCTTGAACAACTTTGGGATATTTGGATCGATCCTGGAGGTTATCTTGGGCTCACTCTGGCCCTTCTGGGGGCCACCTGGGGCCAAAAGGGACGCCCTGATACCTCGCGGGGCGCCCCATCCAGACCCAGGGCGAGTGGGTAGGGAGAGGGGGACCGCCCTTCCCCGAGGGGGAAGAAGGGGGTGGTAGAACGGGCTCCTCGGACCACTCACGCCCAGAGGGCTGGTGGGATTCTCTCCTTGTATACTGGTCTGCCTTAAGATTCCAAGTTCGCCCGCGATCGTAGGTCAGATTCTGGACCCAGGATGCGGCTTGCTCATTGTTTCACGTATTTCTCACTGGTAGATACTCTTGGCAGTGCTGCGCTGGTGAATGTCGGCTGCCAGGTCATCATCGGCGGAGCCATGAAGTGCGGCACGAACACGTTGGCGAGCCCTGCGCCCCTCTTGGGCTGGTCTCCGAGCAGCCCTTGCAGCCCAACAGAAAACAGAAACAGTAGTCTTGCAGTCAGAAGTCAACATTTTGAGTCTTGAGGCCGCAGGGAGCACCAACAATGCACTGTGAAGCCCACGTTCACACCGCTAGTCAGAGGTGGCCGCATGTACATACACACATGTCTGAACGCACATCGAGCGAGTTGTTCATATTTTACGGAGGGGGGAAGGTCATTCGCTAATGGCTCCTTGGGCTCTGGTCGGGACGGACGTCCTGAAGTGGAATGCTCTCGATTTGCCGTGGCCCGTCCGTCCTCACGCACCAACTTGCTTGATAACTTCGGCTGCGTCGGGCCCGGCGCAGGCTCAGGGGGGGTGTTCGCTCACACCATGGTTCGGGCAAGTCTCGACAGCCTCGAGGGCGCGAAGTTGTTCGCGCTTCGCGCTTCGCGGTTCTCGCTTCGCGGTTCGGCTACGATTCCTCCTCATCCTCTTCTGCTCCCCCGAAGGGTTGCGCGAGAGCGCAAAGTTACTCGCGCTTCGCGCTTCGCGTAGCGCGAAACGCGAATCTAGGCGCTCTTGTGGAAGGACTTAAGACATTGGAGGGATGGGTTCGGAAGTGCAGTTTGCAGACGAGCTGTACAGGTACTGCCTGGTCAAACGGTATGTCTATGGCCAGCCCGCGCTGGGCCCGACTTGTCCATGTCCACGCCCCGTCAGACTTGCTCTCGGTAAACCAGGGGAAACCTGATCACAGGGATGGGAGGAGTGACAGGGCGACCGCCCGAACGAAGACACGGGTGCTCGCCTAGGGTTTGGCCAGGGAGGAGGAGGAGGAGGAGGAGAGGAGGAGGAGGAGGAGGAGGAGGAGGAGGAGGAGGAGGGGGAGGAGGAGGAAGAGGAGGAGAAGGAGGAGGATGAGGAGGAGGATGATGATGATGAGGAGGAGGAGGCGGAGGAGTCGGAGGAGGTGGATGATGATGATAATGATGATGATGATGATGATGATGATGATGATGATGCTGATGCTGATGCTGATGCTGATGCGGATGCTGATGCTGATGCTGATGCTGATGATGATGCTGCTGCTGATGATGCTACTGATGCTGATGCTGATGCTGATGCTGATGCTGCTGCTTATGATGATGATGCTGATGCTGATGCTGGTGATTATGCTGATGATGACGATGATGACGCCGATGATGATGCTGATGACGATTATGATGATGCTGCTGCTGATGATGATAATGCTGATATTGATGCTGATGCTGTTGCTGGTGATGACGATGATGATGATGGTGCTGACGATGATGATGATGATGATGATGATGATGATCATGATGATGATGATGATGCTGATGATGATGATGATGGCGTTGCTTCTGATGATGATGATGATGCTGGTGACGATGACGATGACGATGAAGATGATTATGCAGATGATGATGCTGCTGATGATGATGGTGATGATGATGAAGATGTTGCAGATGCTTATTATGATGATGATGATGATGATGATGATGATGATGATGATGCTGATGATGATGGCATTGCTTCTGATGATGATGATGATGCTGGTGACGATGACGATGACGATGACGATGATAATGCTGATGATGCTGCTGCTGATGATGATGATGATGAGGATGTCGATGAAGATGTTTATGCATATGCGGATGCTGATACTGCTGCTGCTAATGATGAGGTTGATGATGCTGATGCTGATTTTGCTGATGATGCTGATAATGATGATGCTGATGATGATGATGATGATGCTGATGATGATGATGACGATGATAATGCTGATGATGCTGCTGCTGATGAGGCTGCTGATGATTCTGATGATGATGATGCTGATTCTGATGATGTTGGTCATGATGATGATGATGCTGATGATGATCACGATGATGATGATTCTGATGATGATGATGCTGGTGATAATGATGATGAAGATGATGCTGATGATGATAATGCTGATGCTGATGATGACGATGATGATGATGATGATGATGATGATGATGCTGGCGATGATGATGATGATGATGATGATAATGATGATGATGACGATGATGATGATGATGATGATGATGATGATGATGATGATGATGATGCTGTTGATGATGATTTTGCTGATGATGATGCTGATGATGCTGATGATGATGATGCTGATGATGATGCTGATGATGATGATGATGATGATGATGATGATGATGATGATGATGATGATGATGATGATGATGATGATGATGATGATGATGATGATATGATGATGATGATGAGATGATGATGATGATGATGTCGATGCTGATGCTGATGATGATGATGCTGATGCTGATGATGTTGATGATGATGATGACGATGATGATGCTGATGCTGATGCTGATGCTGATGCTGATGCTGATGATGAGGGTGAGGGTGAGGGGTGAGGGAGGAGGAGGAGGAGGAGGAGGAGGAGGAGGAGGAGGGAGAGGAGCAGGAGGAGGAGGAGGAGGAGGAGGAGGAGGACGTGCGGTGGTGGGTGGGGGTGGGGGGGGGGGCAGGATGGGGGGGAGGGGGCGGGGGCGGGTCAGGGGGAGGGGGAGGAAGGATAGCTGATCGAGGAGGGATTGATGGAGGGAGGGCCGAGGGAGGAGGGAGGACGGAGGAGGAGGAGGAAAGAGGGAGGAGAGGGAGGGAGGGATGGAGGGAGGGAGAGGAGGGCGGGGGGATGAGGGAGGAGGGATGGAGGGATGGAGGATGGAGGATGGAGGAGGAAGGAAGAAGGAGGGAGGATGGATGAGCGAGGATGAGCGCGGAGGGAGGGGCGATGAAGAGGATGGATGAGGGAGGAGGGAGGACGGAGGAGGGAGGAGGGAGGAGGGATGATGGAGGGGGGAGGAGGGAGGGAGGGAGGGATGGATGAGGGAAGGGGGGGGAGGGAAGGAGGGAGGAGGGGGGAGGGGAGGGGAGGGAGGAGGAGAGGAGGAGGAGGAGGAGGACGTGGAGGAGGAGGAGCTGAGCTGGATTCGCTGTCCTCGCCGCCGCGGCCTTTGTCTTTTTTGCGTTTGCTGGCCGCCTGCCCTACAGCGGCCGCTGTGGGTTTTTGTGTCTGCCTTTGTTGTTGGGCATTGTTCCCATTCTTTCGGTACCTATCTCGGGTGTCCAAACAGGCGGGACCCAACCCAGCAGCAGCGGGCCGGCGGGGCCAGATGCCGGTGCGGCCCTCGTGCCTCCCACTGGTGCCCCTGCGCAGGTGGATCCTGAGGCGGAGACTGTCCCAGGCCTCCCTGGTCTCCCCGCCGAGTCTGCCATGGCCCCTGGCCGTGTGCCGGCTCAGCCAGCAGCGGTCCCCGTGCCGCCGCCGCCGGTCTTTGGGGCCTTCCTGAACGCCGCTGCTCTGCCCTCGTCCAGCTCGTCGTCGTCGTCGTCGTCGTCGGCGGCGCCTGGCTCGCCTCTGTCACCGGCGCCTCCGGCTTCGCCTGGCGCCCCGCACTGCAGCGGCGACGCGGCATGCAGCGAGGGGCCTCTCAGCTCACTGCTGGCGGCGGCAGCTGCGCGCACTTTGCCCTCGCACCCTGGCGTCTGCAACTCGGCCTACTCGCTGGCGCTCCTGGCCGCGGTCGGCCTCCTACCGGCAGAGACCTTGGCAGGCTGGCTCGCCCATGCATCCATGGGTCCGCCCTTCGCTGGCCTGGTGCAAGAGCTCGTGGGAGCATCGGCGGTGCCCTCCTCGGATCTCGTCTTTGCTCTGCAGTCCTTGGCTGCCGCCGCGCCCGGGCACGCCGCGCCTGCGGCCTTGGCGGCCGCTGCCCTCTTCGGGCGGCTGGCGCGCCCCGTGGGCCTTGCAGAGGTGGTCCACACCCTCCTGCTCGGGGCCAACTACCTGGACCCCTTGGTCGCCGAGGCCTTGGTGGCGGTGTACGGGGGCTCTGCACAGGGTGCCGCTGCTGCCCTCCGTGCCGCAAGTCTGCGCTGGGCTGCGGGCGCAGCGGGCGGCAGCTCGAGCGGTTCTGCGGGGGCCAGCCCGGGCCTGGCACCGGCGTCGCAGGCCACTCCCCCGTGGCGCAGTCCGCCCGCCGCCCCTCCGCCTCTGGGCGGCCCCGCTGCGTCCTCCTCTGGCCCGCCGCCTGCGTCGCTGGGGATGCCCGCGCCCCAGCCTCTTCCGCCTGCGCCGGCCAGTTCCGGGCGGCCGTGCTGCCCGCCCCCGTCGTCTGACCCCGCCGGCGGCGCCCGTGCTGCCTTCGCCTCCGCTGTCCCCCTCGTCCGCCTGCTCCTGGCGGCCCAGCGGCCCGCCCTCATCGTCCGTCTCCTTGCCGGCGGCGCCGGCGCAGCACCAGCCCCAGCAGCCTCCCGCGCCTTCCGGCTCTTCGCGGCGCTCGCGGCGCTACACCGGCGCTGACCCCGGTAGCGCCCGCTTCCGCCGCGGGCTCCCTGCGCGTGCTGACGGGCGCGCGCTCACAGAGCAAGAGGTCCTTCAGTTGGCTGCCGCCTGCGGGCTCTACACCGACTCCCGCCAGGCATTCTGGCTCTTTGGCACCAACGGGGCCCGGATCGGCTTGGCGCTCCGTCCGCTCGGCGGCGGCGGGGTGATCAATTTTTGGCTCCGGCAAGCCAAATTGACCATCGCCGGCAACACGGAGGTCCGAGAGCGGCTCCTCGAAGCAGTGCTTGCGTGGACCGTCCCCTGGGTTGGGAACCAGCCCCGGCCCCACGCCGCCGCGGCGCCTCCGCCCCCGCCCAGCGCTCTGGGCGCGCCGCCCGCGCTGGCCCTCCACGCTCCTGCTGCCGCCACGGGCCTGGCCGCCGCTGCCCCTCCGACGGCTGCTGCTGCTGCCACCCCGGCCGGGGCCTCCCGCCGCCGCCGCCGCCGCCGCCGCCGCCTTCGCCGCCTCCGCCGCCGCCGCCGCCGTCGCCGCCGCCGCCGCTGCTGCCGCCGCCGCCGCCGCCGCCGTCTCCGCCCGCCGTCGTCGTCGTCGTCGTCGTCGTCGTCGTCGTCGTCGTCGTCGTCGTCGTCG